GCACACTTAAGCAATTCACACCTGTGACGACCGGTCCGACTCCTAGCTCACAGCTGTAAGGGAATTTCCATGGATCTATACTTACACATGTATATATCATTGAAATCACGAATATCAAGATACATACCACATATGTTCATTTTCCTATCGTTCCGATTATTATTCCTACATAGTATTAGGTATCTGTTATTTGCGCTAATAAACATCCAACTGTCGTTTTACCCAATAATTTACAGCCAAAGGCGAGATTAAGAAAAAGAAAAATGAACCCGAAAAGCCGAGAACTAAGATTCCAATTGTTCCACCCACAGTGCTACCGGATCCAGAAAAAATTAAGTCCAAAAATGTCTAGCCCAAGAAAAAGAGTACCGAAACTCCAGCTGTCGTTTTACCCAGTGACTTACAGCCAAAGATTGTTGAAGAGATTAGGCTAAGGTTTGCATTGCTGAAGATACTACAGGAATGCACCATTTGCTGAAGATACTACAGTTTAGAATGCACTACTATCTACTTGTTGGCTAACCTCAAGCGCTTTTATACTTAAAAATTCACTAAGTTTCTGAGTTCCGCTAGGGAGAATCAACAATCCTATGTGGTTACTGTGATTAGGGTTATCTGGGAAGATCAAGGACAACCTTCCACCATGGTTATGCAGCAACAGAAGAGAGCCGTTTTTAGCCCCCGATGATAAATTAACAGGTAATTTCTGCTCGAAACTCTAGTCCAATGATACCACAAGCTGATTCAAGCAGTAATAAAAGATCTGAAACTGAAAGAATGAGCTCATGTCGTAACAGTAAAAGGATATTACGCACAACTACGCAGAGATCGTTTGGTGAAATCTATCAGTAGAAGTGAACGCCTACATTTCAATATGTTCAGAAAAGCAAGAATGAGAGAGTGCTGATGAATTCATCACGTCCTAAATAGATTTTTTCAAAGAGGTGTCCCAAGAAGTTTATGCACATGCTAGCCTTCCACATAATTTTGTATCCTCTCTCATAATTTTCACATGGTTCTCTCAAAAAGAGTCAACTTGCTCTAGAAGAAAAGTATTTCCTATATTGAAAAGCAAGAGACTATGACACAAGTAAAATCAGGGCTGCTCTTATATTAGAGCTACAGTTTTCATGTTGCATATGTTAAAAAGAGAAATCATCAGTAAAACGCAGAGTTCTTAAAAAGGATACCGTAACCATCTTTTCGGTTATGTCAGCATTCATCGGCAAGGTAGTGTAGTATGAGGCAGCTACCGTAATCATACATTGGAAAGTTCGAGTTGTGTGCCAAAATAGCCCGATACAAAGATTTTTAGATATCTGATGTGCCTTTATGAATTCATTGAATGGCAATACATCGCAAAGAATGTAGGCATACATATGCACCGCTGCTATCCAGTAATCGATAGCTCTAAGAGAGGAGTAGAACTCAAGTCGAATAAACTACTAAACTTTGAATTACTTAAATCTGTACACATCAATAGAAATCCTTGAACAGAGAACATAACATTTTCTGGGGATACTCTGTACATCAGTTGGAGGAAAACGACAACTGAATGGCAGTTTAGTTGTCTGATAAGAAATACAACAATCAAGTGACGGCCAAAACAGCATTTTCTCATCATGAGCGAATGTAGAATGTACGAAATCGGCAAATAACAACCTACTGGTTTGTTTATGATTGATGGATCATCCTGTGCAGTCGGACTGTAAATTTCAGATGGCGGACGAAAAAAACTGAAACTTAGTGGAGAGAATTCAGTCATCACGCAGCAGCATATGTAGTGGAACGGCCTGAAAAGTCTAGTATGACCAGCATTTTCACAGTAGCAACATCAGAGAGTCATGGGAAGGTTTCAAGAAAAATCACATATTATCTTTACAGAGAGAAAGATGCGGAGCGAATTTCATGCACAAAAAGAGGGAATGTTATCAGCATAGTCTGATGGAGGCAGACAAACAAAAATTCATTCCATTTTCCGTTCTCGTAAAGACACGCTGTAGTTTACTTTTGTTAACAATAATGGCGGAAGGGTTTGAAGAAGGGAAGCGGGCTAAAAATTGATGCATTTAGTCAAAAATAAAGTAAGTGTGAGATGAAGTATCTCTCAGCTGGAATGCTTACAGTAGATAGTATATGCAAAGTAAATTACGCGTAAACGGCGGCGCACATACCGGTATGCGCGCCGGATTTTACTTTTTCCCGGAGAACGCAACCTGAGATTACAGGCGATGGTATGTGATGTGACTCTATCGAACGTCCCTCCAGTCACGCATTTGTTACTCTATTACCA